TCAGGCAAACAGATTGTTAAATTCCTGGTTCCCCTGCCCCTCCCTGCCCCGCCCCTTCCAGGAGTCCCCCCCCCACCCTGTTTTGGCTCCCAGTTAAGTGCAGGGAGGCCTACTAGGCCCAAAATGGGGTGCAGAGGTGTGTGGTGTACCCTCCCCCCCAGCCCATTTTTGCTCCCGGGAGGCTGTAGGGGGTTGTACTAGGCCAAAACGGGGCATGGGAGTGATCTGTTTTTGCTCCCAGGGTAGTGCAGGAGGCTGAGTGCTACCTGTTACACCCTCTAGCCATGCCCACCATGGCCACACCCACCAGAGATATTCAGCAGGTTCTGACCAGTTCTGGAGAACCAGTAATGGAAATTTTGAGTAGTTCAAAGAACTGGTAAATACCACCCCACCCCCATCTATTCTCTGCCTCCCGAGTCCCAGCTGATGGGGATTTTGCAGTAACCTTCCCCTGGAATGGGGAAGGAATGGAGATTTTACAGTATCCTTTCCCTGCCACCCCCACCATGCCACAACTACCAAGCCATGCCCACAGAACTGGTAGTAAAAAATGTTGAATCCCACCACTGATGCCCACCAGCCAGTCATTAGGACTGTTAAATTATTTGAATCCCACCACTACTTTTAGTGTTATTCTAGAAGTGATTGCATTTTTATTTACTTCTTCATGCTGTCTTCATCTGAACCTTTGGCCTTCTTGGAATTTCACTGCTATAATAATATGGCATGGATGTCTTTTTTATTACAATATTGTTGTATTGACAGGGAGAGAAGGGAGAACCTGGAGAAAAAGGAGATATTGGGGCTTCAGTAAGTAATCAAACCATGTTATTTTTTAAAACATTAGAAAAAAACCCCTCCTTTTCCTTAACTACAGTTCAATTTTCTTCATTCCTTCTTCCCAACTACTATTTTCAGAATGATAGGTTTAATTTCTACATAATAATTTTGAGGAAGGAGTCCGGTTACTGCTTTAATTTACTGAGCATGAAAGTGAATTATTATGGCAATGACATTTGCTTTTCTATTTGGCTTTTAGGTAACTGGTCCACCAGGGCCTCGAGGTCCACCTGGAAACCCAGTAAGTCTTTTCTACAATGTGGACTATAAATATTTTTTCCCTTTTTCTAAAGTACTAGTTGATAACCCAGTGTTGCCCGAGTATTTATTTATAGAGGGAAAATGTCAGGAGTAAACGTAATTTCTAATGTTAGATTTTTACCCCTAACTAGAGGGAGGCCCCTTGTGGAATACTGTGAAGCCGTAACCATGGCAACTCCACTGTGCTGTCCAGTAGAATCCATTTTACAGCAGTACAGTAGAGGCCATTTTAAGGCACAACAGGCTGTATCTTAACAGAACACACAACTCGAGGGTGCTAGGGATGTTTTACCCCCACCGTATTTGTTTCCAGAGAGTAAGTCATCTGTGTACCAAGTTTGGTTGAAATTGCTCGAGGCGTTCCAGAGTTACGCTGGAACACACACAGCCATTTATATATAGAGAGAGATAACCAGTAACTTGAAATGCATTCAGAGCTAACTGTCAGCCAATGCAACCCACAGAGCAGGAGGTCACATGGACATTAATGAGGTATACTGATCATTGCTTACACCACTACAGGATCAAGAAGCATTAGTGGGAGTCCTGTTTATGAACATGGAGAATATTCAAACAAGGGAGTGATAGTGACCAAAATATTTAGATCCACAAAATTCCACAGTACACACTATAAGTGTGTGTGTGTGTGTGTTTGTTTGTGTGCGTGTGTTAGTGTTAGTGTTAGTGTTATAATGTAGTCCAGAGTTGCAGGAGGGAGGTGCTCCTTCCCAAGGAACAAAGAGACAACATAGATTGGAATCTTTGATATGCAGGAAAAGTACAAAGATGGATCCTTCCTAGCAGTTCACAAGGTATATTTAATAGTTATGTAGATAATTGCTTTAGCCTGGGAAGAATTTTATCTATAGGCTAGCAACAATAAAGATACTATTCTCAAG